ATAGGATTGGGTTGGGGGTCCGTTTTAAGAGCTGCGAGTCATTATGTGCAGAACTTTTTTTTTTTTTTGGTGCTGCAACGAAACGCTGCTCAAAATCAAAGGAAAAGGCGTACGCTTCACCCACATGAGCTCCATCTTTGCTGCAATAAACAAACAAATGTGGGGAGGGAGAGGATAAAAAAGACGGGATGAAATACGGGCGTGCCCCTGGGGGCTGCTTTCACCCATCCCTCACAGAAAACAGCCTCGTCATGACACGGTGAGGCCGAGAGAGAAAGAGCAGCCACCCAGTGATTCATGTGCCATCGTAGCGGGCTATAGTGCCACCACACCATCCTTTCAAAGCCCAATAAAAGACAACACAGTCTCATAAATCAAACAGAGCAGGTGGGGGGTCCCGTTGCGCTCCACTCAAACCCATTTATGCCTTTTATTATTCATCGTTAACAAATATTATTCTGCTAACTCTCGGGGGACTTGGGGAGAGGGGTGTGTTTTAATAATGAAGCCCGCTTCAGCTTAAAGCACCTATTCTACCGAGTCCCCCCGGCTATTCAGATCCACTTCACTGCATGGCTGCTGCTACAAAGGCAAAGAAGCGCCACCATTATTCTCTTCTCTCACGCCAAGGCACCTAAAATAAATACAAGTTTATTCAAGAAGACTTTTAGATGAAGGATCCGGACTTCTTTCCTTCCGAGGGAAACGCTGACTATGAGTTTGTGGTGTGCATCAACCTTCTGACAAACCAGCGCTGGAGATATTTTTACCACAATCCCACAGATGTTTGTGGGATTTGTTAGAAAGTTAGCAGCGGAGGTGTGAATTCTTACAGTATCAGCTCTCGGTCAATTCCTCCCACAAGCACAACGGCCCATAATTACCATCCGTTTGTCCCCTTTGGCGCCTCTCTGGCAGGACAGGCAGGCCGTCACCTCCTCAGTCAGGCAGGACAGCTCGTCTTTAAGCAGTCGTCCTAAGCTGAGCAGCGCAGATCCTAAAAAAAGGTCTGCCTGCTCTGCTTCAGAGCCGCACGTCCAGAACCAGCACATGGCTAGCAGGGAGCACAGCGCGTGGGCTGGAGACCGGTCGTGCAGAAAAAGCTCGGCTAAGGTGGTGAGGTAGAGGCATTCCCGGGGGTCTTCATCGCTCCTCGTCGGGGCCGTTGCAGTTCCAGCCGCCCCCGATGAGGTCATCCCGAGCGAGGTGGTATCATGGCTTCCGTTTGGTGCTGATCTAACTTGTTTACATTGAAGTGGACTGACCAAAGGAGGCTCGTTAACTGAGCCGCCAGCGGTAAGCCCAGATTAATAGGCTCCTTATGGCCAGATGGCAACTGATGGGCTTAGTCATAACACACACACACACACACACACACACACACACACACACACACACACACACACACACACACACACACGGAAGTCAGGTACAGGAGATCGTCTAAATTTTGGAGCTGGAAGGGAGACTAGATGACGCTAATATCTGCAGGCGTCTCTGTCTGAAATCTGGGAGTTGATAAAAATGGAGGAACTGCTTTTACATGCAAACATATGTAAAGGGTCTGAAAACACCTCGGACGTGTTCGTCCAGCAGAAACGCTGAAATCATATGAATGCACGCAGGTTTGATGGCATTATTACCCAGAAACAAAATCGGAACATCAATGCATCAAACTGAATTTCTCCAGACGGAGCGCGGCTCCACTTCTAGCTTCCATCATAAACCCAGTTAAAGGCTCTTAATGGAACGTCTGGTCTGGATGGATGCAAAGAGGCTTAATATGTCTGCTCGCTGTTTAACCTTTGCTTAAGGAAGACAAGAGCATAAACTTTGGTGGTGGCCAATAACTCAAAAGGTGAAAACTAAATTATTCAGGTACTTTTCTGCTGATTTCATTGCTCATGATTTGTTCAAAATGGTCATTTTCGGCAAACTTTGTTGAGGTTTTGTTTGTTTTGGGTTCCTCTGCTGCCATCTCGAACAGTTTGCCTTTTCTTAGCAGTCATGTCGGAGACGCTTCATCCATCTACTCAACAAAAAGACCTAGAAACTAGGGTTAGACCGACACATCAGGCCGATATTTACCTGCGTTTACATATCGCATCGGCCGATAACCTCTTCAGTAGAGCCAATTGAAAGTCAGGCACGTCGATTTATATTTGAATTCCTGAAAAACATCTGCTTCATAGATTCTCATAAACATTATTGTCAACTGACACTTCTTTTTATCGATATATTTTATATTTATTACTTAGTTTACTGATACGTTTGATTAACTTTGGTTTAATAATATCAATAATATTAATATTTGATTTCAATATGAAGCAGTGCAGAAAAATAAGCAAACATTCGGTTCAGAAAGGTTGTGCATCAACTGTCATTAGTGACATTTTAGCGTGAAAATAAAGCAGAAAATGTCTAATTATAGACCGTTAACATCAGCAGCACATTATCGCCACCGGCTGTTCATAAACATCGGTATCGGCCATAGAAAAGCCACATCGGCAGGCTTCTTAACGGAAACCTTGGTTTTGTTTTTAGGAAAGGACTTCTACATTAGACGTGTCCACTTCGTTTTCTTGTCCCTCCAAACCAGATTCACTTACTTTAATATATCAGGCAACATAAAAAGCAGTTATTCCCACAGGAAAAACTAGAAGGAGCAAAAATAATCTATGTTTTGGGTTTAAAATAAAGATGTAAACAAATATTCAGTAATCAGATAAAATCCCAGAAGCCTTAAACCATCAAATCTCATAGAAATTACTGCTGTTTTAATTTTGCCTGTAAGCACAGTTCCACTCTCTATCCACGTCAGATCGCTTTAGTCTGAGCGCTCTCGTGGGAGTCATCCGCGACCGCTTCAGATGACATCTGCAATCGATTGGTTAAGCTCATAACAGAAGCACGGCGTTGTGTAAACCGTCTGCTGATTCTGTCTGCAGCCAAATATTTTATTAAGGAAAACTCAAAATGTAAATCAGAATCCAGATGGAAAACAACAACATCACCCAAAACAGAAAACAAACGACTGATTTTCAATTAAGCAACTAATAAAATGTGACAGAGAGCTGGAAACTCGTTCCTCCTTCATCCATCTCCGTCGACTTTCACAACAACGCGGGCATGCGTGAGCCTACCTGCTGATACTGGGCTGATTCTCTACCTGGTGACTCAATTCCTCCCTCCTCACCCTGGAGAATCAGCTGAAGGCTGCGATGTGATTAAGTCCAGCAACAAAAAGGTAATTTACCAGCACCAATATATTAGGCTGCGCTTTAGCTTTGGATTTTCAACATTCCCTTCGCAGTGGCTCACTCCTACTGACGAAAAAGGTGACATTTGTCTTTTCCTTTGTGTCTCGTGTGCACATGGCCGCCTTCCAGCACACACACGTAACGCCCAGCAACGGTCAGTTTTTAGGCACGGTTTGACCGTCCAACATCTGGTCAAAAAGGAGACACGAGACTGCACGTGTTCCCTTTAAATCAGCCAGCCTTCATCCCTTCAGCTGGAGCTCAGAGCCTGCAGCTCTGACAGAGGTAATGAAATCATAACAATAACGTTCTCTCCAAGGTCCCTCACAGAGCACCCTCTATCTAAGACTCCTCGCTTCACAGAAGAAAGAAGATTTAAAATCAAAAGATGAACTTCCACAACTAATAAAGTCAAATAATCATTAAGTGAACATTTGTTTATTGCTACTTACAAAAAAAGTAACTAAGTAGTTATTTTTCTTGGTAATTAGTTACTTTTATAATCTCGTAACTCAGTAACTGAGTTACTTTTTTGACAAAGTAATTAGTAACTATAACTAATTACTTTTGAAAAGTAACTTTCCCAACACTGATAAAGACCAAGCAGGGGGATATTCTATATTCAGATAGAGTATCACAGCTTATTGGCCATAAGCAGAGGTAAAATATAGATTGAGCTCATAAACACTCAGTTTCCCAAACCCTACACACACATCTACTCCATTCATTCCTGGAGTAAAAACATAATCTGCAGGAAGCTGAGCAGCAGCGGTGGTGCAGTGCAGTGGGACCGACTCGTGTCTCTGGGTAAACAAAAGGAATAAAGCCCGAGTAGACTGAAGAGGAGACTTGTTTTTTCTAATCCACCTCCAGGCCTGACCTCAGGTCCAATACTGCACGGCATCTTCTGCAGGCAAATAGATCTACAGGCGATGCCGACCGAATATTCCGCCGGAATCTTTTGTTTTTCTTACCTGGATGAATATGAACCTGTTTGTTTTTTCATGTTTCCACGTTGCACAATGAGCAAATTAGTCGACAACTGTACACAGCTTTGAAGATGGAATATTAGGTAAACAAGTTTGAACATTCTTCAGATTGTAGGCACCGAGCCATGTCATCACCACTTTAGGGACCACACACACACACACACACACTCATCAGCGCTCTCCATAAACCCATTCTCACATAGAAGTAGAAGTATTCCCAAAAGGGGTCGGTTTACCCCCCCCCTCCCCCCCCCCCATTAAAAAGAGCAGATATTTAACAGCTGAAAGGCCACGAGCCGTTAGCTTTTGTTTACTGGAGAAGAGATGTTCCTGTAAAGCGATTTGAAATAAAAAGACAAAAAACAAACTCGAAAGTTTCAATTATTTGATATAAATAAAAACTCTTCACAGGCTTTCCACGTGACTCATGTTTGCTGGAGGCAGAGCAACATGAGTGCCACACTCCGTCCGCTTCCCGGCTCTGTGACAGTAATAAGCTGTGTTTATACCGGCGGCTATCCTAATTATGGTAATGCTACGGATTGGTGCCAGTCTGCTTCCTGACAGCCTCGCAGCTGCCGCCCGAGTGGGCACAGGGCTCACGCAACACTGTTCCTGGTTTTCCTTCTCCCCTACACACACACACACACACACACACACACACACACACACACACACACACACACACACAAACCTGGAAGGACAGGCAGGTGCAGCGTGTGGATGGAGAACACTGGTTCTTTACTCCTACCTTGCTGTGCTGAACGAGCCGGTGTGCACAGTGGGAGTGATCGTTCTCTGGTCCTACGCACCGGGCCTCTCCGCTGTCGGCTGCAGCAAACACGTCTGGAGAAACGGGGCAGGAGGAAGGGAGTCAGAGCAGCTATTCTTATTTTTCCAACTAAGAAAACACAAACTTTTCAAAAACTAACGCAGGCATCTGAAAGTTAAAGCACAAGGTCATTCGCTTATGTCAGTGTGGCAGTTCTAGTTAATGAAAAGATTTTTTTTATATTCTCTTAGATATCCATGCCTGTTTCCATAGTAACACACGTTACAGAATGATATAATCAGGAAGCCTGAGTATTTAAATCTGAGTCCCAAGGACAAAGTCTCCTGCGTGTTATTTATCTTTGTCGTCTGGAAGGTCGGCCAACATCACCGCAGGAAATGAAAACACCTCACGCGGATTTGAAAGCTCACATTTTCTAATTGCTCTCAAAACACTTAAAGGTGACAGAGCGCTTCCTCCTAAGAAAAGGCGGGAGAAAAAAGGTTTTTGGGGTTTTCTGTCAGAAGTCTCCATTCTTCTTCTCCGGCTTGGAAGCAAGTGCCCTCTAGGGATGAAGCAGAGAACTGCAGGTGCTTTGATCCGCCAGTAATGAGACCTTCAAGTCATTAATCCCTTTGTGCTTAATTATGTCTGAAGAGCAGGAAACAGTAATGAATTGCTATAATTAAGATGACACTTAACACTTTCTCTGAAACAGACTCTTTTTGTTTTTGTTGCAGTAAAACAGGCTCTGTGGATTCAGACCGTGGTAGAGCAGCAGCACTAACCCGTTAGATTTCTCTTTAAAACACCCTCCACCGCTCCCCGACTTCTCAAACACACAAACTCCTGACTAAATGTAAAGTTCTCTTCTTCTAATGTGGGGCTTTAAAAGCAATCGACTCGTCTACCAGCTAGAATGGCTGGAGTGTTCGGTGCCACGTGGGCGGCCTTGCCGTCACCTTGCATCCACAGAGAGGTTAAACCGAGCCGAATGACTCTCCTTTCGTGTCAGACTTGTTAAATTTCATCCGATCTTTATCTTTCTGCTGCTTCATCGGGTTTTTGTTCACCATAAAACAAACGGTAACTTCTGGGGAAGTGACGATGTTGACAAAAACAGGAGTCTGGCGGCTGTCTTGTGATGGAAGCGCCCATCTCAGTGGTTCACGTTGAGACGCAGACCGTGAAGTTTCTGCTTTATCATCCGTGCTGCACAGAGCAGCCAACAAATACGCTTACATCAATCGTGAAAGACGAGTGACTGATAAAAGTGAAGAAATGGAAAACGACGATGCGCGTTTGAGATGTGGTTTCAGGATTTGTGAAAGTAAAACGATCGACGTCTTCACAAAACAAACTAGGGTCCCACTTTGGTTTGAAAACATAAATCCATCTGGAGCATCTTCAGGTAAACCTTCTGAATGTGGAACAACTCACCTGACGAGGACTTGGCTCGGTGGTGTTTGCTACGAAACTCCTGGCTGTGATTGGATGAAGAGATCAGACGGTCCGACGTCGGAGCTGACGGGACACAACCGTCCCGTCTCAGCCTCAGGTGCAGGGTGTGTTCAGCAAACAGAGTCTGGATCAACGTCAGGTCCAAAGTGGACACACAACGGCCGTTCAGCACCAGGATCTCATCTCCCGGACGCAGACCTGAACGCACACGGAGGAGATTCAGCACCTGCATGACACTGTAACTGGCACGTTTAACCCCGGGTTTCCACGGGAGCCGTCAGCAGCACGTCTTGCTCGCGTAAGCTGCTGCTTGGCCCTTCCCACGAGACGCGAAGCAGCAGGGGAGCAGCTGTCACCGACCGAGCACGAATTCACACGAGTGACTTCATCAGTAAACACAACAACAAGCAGGACAAAACTACAACATGGTTTGTGTTTTATGTTCTGTCCATTTTATAATCGCCAATACGGACCTGAAAAACAAAGGAGACCGCTAGCTAGGCGATAACTTCTCACAGGGCCGCACAGTTAGTAACTTTTTTTAAAGTAAAGCAACCGGAAGGCAGTACGTTCTTTATTCTGAAAATCTCGGGAGCTTCTCTCCATTTCCGCGTCCGATTTCCTGTCTTTCCTTCCCCAAAAATGTCGAACTTGACCCGTTTCAGAGGCGTCGCGCGTAGAAAATAGAACCGGCGCGTAAAGGCCGCGACATGCTGCTCCTGAGACGCGGCCGACTCGCACTGCTGACGGCTCTGGTGGAAAAGGTTCTGTTGACCACAGCGGTTCCTATCAGCAGCTATGACGTGCTGCTGCAGTAACGTGCTGCTGACGGCTCCTGTGGAAAGCCGGGGTAAGGGTTAGAGAGGACAACCACCTTCATTAAAGGCCGATCCTTCAGGGAGAACTTCACTGACAAAAATCCTGCTGTTCTTCTGGTTGTCGATGTGTCCCGTCACTGCAAATCCTGGCATGAAAACGGGAGCTCTTATGAGTACAGCTGCAGTCACACGTGGGGATCTTTGTGTTCTTGTATGCGTGACTCACCAAAGTCGGTAGTGCTGCTTGGTCTCCTCATGTGCAGTGTGAACACATTAGCCGGAACCACCTCCAGCTGATCACCGACCTGCGGGGCGATGTGAAGCGAATCGATACACAGTGAAGTAAAGACGAGATCATAAAAAGCGCTGGAGGGATTGTGAACATTCGTCCTCCGTACCACATCGCAGAGGAGCTCGCCGGGAGCCACGAATCGGACCTCCACGTCCCGTCCCGCCCGCCACTGCAGTCGGAGGCCGTGCAAGGCCGGGTCCAGCTGCTTCACCTGTTTACACAAGGAGCCACTTAGTGTTCAGTTGCCCATATCCACGGAACGATGTGACATTTTTCATGCACCGATGAGCTTGCTGCTGTGCAGGCGAGGTGTGAATTATTTACAGACTCTTCACGTGGTGCAAAGATTCAACCTTAAGGGACAGCATGCATGTTTGCATCAGATGAAAGGATTTATGACATCTCTGCGTAATGCAACTGAGTCGATACTAAAGAGGTCAAAGAAATCCTAATTCTACACATGACGATAGCTGAAATGGCATCACTGCTTCAGTTCCCCTTTTTCCTTGCATCAGCTGTCAGAAATATCATCACTGTGGTGAAATGTCATTTCCTTGAAATCCAACCTTGCAAGCTGCACAGAGAAGGTCTGCAGCTGTCTGGTCTCTTCTGGTGGGAACTTGGACCGTCAGGCCGTCTGGCATGTAAACACTCATCAGCCTGTCTGTGGCCCCACTGAGGTTCTCCCAAATACCCCCATCAGGGGGCGACATGGAGTAGATGCTGGTCAGTATGTTCAGCCTCTAAAGGAAGGTGAAGGAATGATAGAGAGAAGTGGATGAGCAGTGGTAGATGTGTGTGTGTGTGTGTGTGTGTGTGTGTGTGTGTGTGTGTGTGTGTAGATGGGAGGAAGGGGGTAAACAGAGGAGGGAGGGTGAGCCGAGCGCCATAACACACAAATCAATACGGTTCCATTAGTTTAAATGCTTGGCTCCGGATCAAGCAGCGGAGCGAAGATGTCATACAATTAGCCTTTCAGAAATTCATTTGGCAACACAGACGGCGGTAGCTCCTCGTTATAATGACCGTGTACACAAGATGATTGTCAAGGGCCGGCGGATTGGTCTAGACCGGTCCTCCTGCGACGCGGAGGGAAGATTTATCTCCAAACTTTCCTGGAGGTAATTACGTGTTGCATTATTCGTGGCATTAGCAGTGAAGTTCGAGTTGACTTTAAGGTGGGGGCCGGCCCACCGTTCAGCCTCACCAGCCATTTGAGGCTTTTGGTTGCGACTCCGTGTCTCTGGAGGGGGAAACGCAGAGGGAGGCGCCACCGCGCAGCTCAAAACCACAATTATTAAGGCCATAGATCATAAGGAAAGGCTCCATCTCTCCAAATGTAACAACCATATCCGGTTAAAACGGAGACGCGGGACCAAGCGGGGCAACTGGAAATATTTCTAATGCGTTGTGGGACTGTAACACGGGGCATTGGAGGCTTTCCATCTGATGTGTTTGAGTTTTTCTGTTTATGTCAAGCTGGCTGCCTGTTGTTGATGAATCACCTCATGAAGTAAAAGGGCCTTTTGCCCTGCCAGACAAACAGCCTCAAGGGACAAGCTGGAGTCTGACTCAGAGCCTTGCTTCGTTCACAAACACGAGCCGCAGAAACAAAAAACAACCACTTTGTTTTCTTTCTTAATGAATTTGGGAGTTTTGGCATAAATAAAAGCCACTAATGTTCTTAAGACAACACCCCCGCCCCGTCACCTGTTGCAAAGAAAGAACACAAGCAGGCCTGTTGAAACCCACTTCTGCCTGCACCGAAATAGGAACAAACATGTCGTCATGGCAACAACCTCATCTGTGTCCAGGCGATACGAACGCTCAACGGAAAGTCAAAAATCTGGTTTCCCGCTGACTAACACTGGACACTCATTCATGGTTAGGGAGCGGTCGCCCGTTCCAGCGACGTTTGCCAAGTCTGAGGCGGAGGCTCGTGCTGGGCTTCAAAACGTGCCCTGTGTGGTCAGTGCACACTGTTTATGTTTGAACTTTGCCAAATAGTTGAAGACTTCAGAGTTTCGCTTCAAGTCTGGAGATCAACTCAGTCTGCCCATCCAGATGCTGCCCCAAAACACATCTTCTGTCACCGTTAGCAACACAAATATTACAGCACTATAGGCCGACCACAAAGGAGCTAAAGCTGTCATTTCCTTCTTCTTCATCTATTAAAAAGTGTTACCCCTCATTTCCGTTAAGCTCCACCCAAAGGTGATGTTTCCACTCCTGTAACGGTGTTCTGCTCAGCCACTTGGGCGGGTTTCTGTCCCTCCCCTGTCCCGGATCTTAGATTTAAAACAGGTTTGTATTCTGATTTAGTGGATCGTGCTGGGAGGGCGTGACAAAGAGGGTCGGTAAGTCGAGAGTGACCGGGTGCTGCTCAAGAGCCAAGACGGTCATTTAAAGATGGTCTCTGGTTGCAACCAGCAGTATGGTGTCCAGTCTAGGACTTCCTCAGGTCTCAGGAAAACTTCTTCAGACTCAGAAGGCAACCTTCCGTTATCAGGAAAAAGGATGCCAAACGGAGAATCAAATAGAAGTAGTCAGGTGGAAAAGCATCAGAACTAAAATGTTGTTTATTTATTTCCATGAGTTGATTCAAAATGCTGCATCGAGACTTCTCACATGACCTCCTAAGTGTTCCCATGCCACACCTCCATCCATCCAGCTTCACTGGCTTCCCATCCACTCCAGAGCACATTATAAACTCTTGCTTCTGACATATAGAGCCTAGGGCTGGGCAATATATTGAAAATGTATCGTTATCAAAATTTCTGACTGTTGGAGATAATTTTCTCATGTCAATAAATTTGATAATAAAGAATGAACAGGTGTGTGTAGGTTGGCAACATTCATGTCCCTTTAAGAAGCTGAACCACCTTGAGTCATAATGTAATACATGCAACAGCCCCATCTAGTGGACAACTTTTTTCTGTACATACCCGTAGTTATCGTCCATTTATCGTCATCGAGGTGAAATCCTCAATTTATCGTGATATTGATTTTAGGCCGTATCACCCAGCCCTAAGAGCCCTAAATGATCAAACCCCTAGGAATGCTGCAGACCTCTGGAACCCCGAGATCGGGCCTTTTTGTTGAACCTCACATTAGACTGAGAACTAAAGCCCAGCATTTGCTCCTGTTCTCTGGAGGGAAAAGCCTTTCATCGCAATCTTTCATTCTAAAACCGTCTGTCTGACTTTTCTGAAAACCTGTTGAGTTTTCCTCTACAGTCATCTGGTCCATGTTTGGTCTGAAGACGTTTAGGATGTCCTCAGCTAGACGCTGTAGCCCAGAGCAGAGACCGGTTAAATCTAGAAGAACTCAAACCTTTACTGAACAACAATAGCAGAGATGCTTACATTCAACATCAATAGTTCTAAGGATAAGAAGTCAAACATGTCTCATCATCTGTGTGGTCGAAACATCTCGACTCTGCTGCAGACAGGAGGGTGGAAGTCCATGTAGGTGTAATTTTTCCATCAGACTCAGCGCTGACAGCTCCATACCAGATCCAGCTGCAGTGTCAGAATATCCTCTCCTTCTCCGGGCTTTGGGCTCGTCCTGCATGCTTTGTTCACAACAACATACCCTTAAAGTGACTTTACTGTAGAGGATTAAAAAAGATGGCTGCTTATTAGTGTAATCTACGAGATTTGTGTCCCAAACACAGCAGCCAACACAAAGCCACTAAGACAGAAATGAAGAACTGTGCCTGTTATGGTCATTTGTTTCTTCTCCTTCTTTTTAGTCCCAAGAGTTTTAATCCCCAACAGTTCAACACAGATTCATGTGAAGAGCAGTTTTCTTCACTCACAACCAAATCCAAGAGGTTTAAACACTCATCTGAAGGCAAAGCTGTTTAAACCAACATTAAAGCTCGGAACTAATGAAAGGCGTCTTTGTTTTCCTGAACCACTTCCTGTTCTAAATCTTTCAAGACCCTAAATAAGAGCGGTTTTGTCCCAGAGACTCACTGATGCACTACATCCTGTACATCCCATTGCATCTTCACTGTCTCAACGTGTCGTTTACATCGGTCATCCAGCGGGACGTTTCTTTATGGTGGCTTTCTGACGCAACTAGAAACGAGCTCAAGAGGCCACGGTGGTTTCATTCGTTTATTTTAATATCAATGTTGGCAAACAGTAACCTGCCGTTTCCACTGTTCACTCACTTTGAAATAAGCTATAAGAATTTTGTAATAACTTGATTTTTTTCTGCATCCACTGCAACAAACAATAGATTTGTCTTTCAAAGCCAATACCATATTTTCGGGACTATAAGTTGCACTTATTTTCATAGTCTGGCTGGTCCTGCGACTTATATACCAAGTTATGTAAACCGCGCTGCTGCGGGCCAGCTCCGGTCCAGGTTTCAGCTTCTCTGCCCCGCTGGGAGGGTTTGAAACACCGCCATCCTCAGCTGGAGACCGTGACGCGCTGCTGCGCCCTGATTGTTTATTCTGTTATTGTTACAGGTACTTGTCTTGCAATGTGAAACGCTTGGTCTCAGATTTTGTAAGAAAAATAATAAAATTTCCCCCCAAAATGCGACTTATACAGGTGCTGGCCAGTAAATTAGAATATCATCAAAAGGTTGAAAATATTTCAGTAATTCCATTCAAAACGTGAAACTTGTACATTATATTCATGCAATGCACACAGACCAATGTATTTCCAATGTTCATTACATTTAAATTTGATATTCATAAGTGACAACTAATGAAAACTCCAAATTTGGTATCTCAAAAAATTAGAATATTCTGAAAAGGCTGAATATAGAAGACACCTGCTGCCACTCTAATCAGCTGATTTACTCAAAACACCTGCAAAGGCCTTTAAAAGGTCCCTCAGTCTTGTTTTGAAGGCACCACAATCATGGGGAAGACTTCTGACTTAACAGCTGTCCAAAAGACAATCATTGACACCTTGCACAAGGAGGGCAAGACACAAAAGGTGATTGCTAAAGAAGCTGGCTGTTCGCAGAGCTCTGTGTCCAAGCACATTAACAGACAGGCGAAGGGACGGAAAAAATGTGGTAGAAAAAAGTGTACAAGCTCTAGGGATAACCGCACCCTGCAGAGAATTGTGACGACAAACCCATTCAAAAATGTGGGGGAGATCCACAAAGAGTGGACTGCAGCTGGAGTCAGCGCTTCAAGAACCACCACGAGGAGACTCATGAAAGACATGGGATTCAGGTGTCGCATTCCGTGTGTCAAGCCACTCTTGAACAAGAAACAGCGCAAGAAGCGTCTCGCCTGGGCCAAGGACAAAAAGGACTGGACTGATGCTGAGTGGTCCAAAGTTATGTTTTCTGATGAAAGCAAGTTCTGCATTTCCTTTGGAAATCAAGGACCCAGAGTCTGGAGGAAGAGCGGAGAAGCACAGAATCCACGTTGCATGAGGTCCAGTGTAAAGTTTCCACCGTCAGTGATGGTGTGGGGTGCCATGTCATCTGCCGGTGTTGGCCCACTCTGTTTCCTGAGGTCCAGGGTCAATGCAGCCGTCTACCAGGAAGTTTTAGAGCACTTCATGCTTCCTGCTGCTGACCAACTTTATGGGGATGCAGACTTCACCTTTCAACAGGACTTGGCACCTGCACACAGTGCCAAAACCACCAGCACCTGGTTCAAGGACCATGGTATCCCTGTCCTTGATTGGCCAGCAAACTCGCCTGACCTTAACCCCATAGAAAATCTATGGGGTATTGTGAAGCGGAGGATGCAATACGCTAGACCCAACAATGCAGAGGAGCTGAAGACGACTATCAGAGCAACCTGGGCTCTCATAACACCTGAGCAGTGCCACAGACTGATCGAGTCCATGCCACGCCGCATTACTGCAGTTATTGAGGCAAAAGGAGCCCCGACTAAGTATTGAGTGCTATACATGCACATTCTTTTCATGTTCATTCTTTTCAGTTGGCCAACATTAGAGAAACAAACATTTTTTCATTGGCCTTTAGAATATTCTAATTTTCTGAGATACCAGATTTGATGTTTTCATTGGTTGTCACCTATAAATATCAAATTTAAATGTAATGAACATTGGAAATACATTGGTCTGTGTGCATTGCATGAATATAATGTACAAGTTTCACGTTTTGAATGGAATTACTGAAATATTTTCAACCTTTTGATGATATTCTAATTTACTGGCCAGCACCTGTATATGTTTTTTTTCTTCTTCGTTATACATTTTATGGCTGGTGAGACTTCTACTCCGGAAAATACGGTAAATATCTGTAAGCAGAACAGATCCCTGGTGATGAGTTTCTAACTTAAGTAGGTTTTGGCCCAAATCAGACGGTCTGGTTGTCTAATTAAAAGGTTGTTTGAAGCCAAAACTAAAGAAATAACTAATTTTACCGTTTCTGATGCATGAAAGGTCAAATTAGAGCAAAATAACATAATTCAAATCCTTCAAGTTGAAATCATTTGGTGCTTTATTGTGAACATGCAGTTCAGTAAAAATAAGAGAAAAAATTGAGGAAGTTTGCAGAATTATTGCAATGTTTCATACGTATTGATCTGTACACAGAGCTCTAGTTTCCAGCTGCTCAGGTGATCAGAATATGAATGAGTTCCTAATTAAACGCCCGATAACGGTCTTATTTTTTAAATGACGTACATGGTTTGTTTGTGTGTTCCCACTAGCTTAGAGGAGAGTTCAGGCATGCTGAACTTCTGTTAGATCTGCTGACTTTATCTCAGACACCTGCAGATCAACATGAAAGGAATCTCTGCTTTTGATCCTGAACAACTAACACACTCAGGCAGGCACACACACACACCTTTTAATCTCCCCACACACGCGTGTAAAAATATCTTTACACAGCTCCACTATCAAAGCTGTGAAACAGAGCAGAGGTCAGAGCAACAGAAGAGTCGTGGCTACTTTCAGACTGAAGGTTTTTGTCTTTACTCGACACCGCATCAAAGATCTGGAAACCAAAGCAGACAAAACGACGCTGCTGACTCACCTCAGAGCTCTTTGGTGGCAGGGTGTAAGTCTGACCTCCAGCGTCGCTCTCAAAGATCTGAATGCAAAAGACGGACGGGTTACTGCCCGACTCATGGCTGTTGCTTCGGCAACGCAGTATTAGACACACTGAGCTGGTAGTTAGGTAGTTAATTAAAAACTGCTGAAGGTGAGAGGAGACCTTTGATACGGCTTTCATGTGAGATCTGCAGCCCTTTGAAGGTGTTGTGGTAAAAATATGCTGCGTGTGTGTGTGTGTGTGTGTGTGTGTGTGTGTGTGTGTGTGTGTGTGTGTGTGTGTGTGTGTGTGTGTGTGTGTGTGCACAGGGTCCACACAAAAAACTCAGAAGGCGTAGTCCACACAAACCCATAAAAACACGCGTTTGTGTGTGTGTGTGTGTGTGTGTGTGTGTGTGTGTGTGTGTGTGTGTGTGTGTGTGTGTGTGTGTGTGTGTGTGTGTGTGTGTACATTTAGCGATTTCTGTTGCACAGACATGAAAGGAGATAACAGTTGGATAGTTGAGAGGAGAGGACAAGCGTTCCTCGCTCTCCTCATCTGACCCAAAGTGCTGAAAAATCTTGATCGGTTCAAACATCCTCAACCTGTTCGTCATTGCTCCTCGGTCAAAAAGACATAGTTATGAAAAGAAAAGGCAGGCAGCACCGTGTTTGCCTCTCTGGTTAGTTGAATATTTGAACACTTCTGCTTAAAACCAATCTGAAGGGGTGACTTTAAGGGTCTCTGGATTACTTTACAATAAAAACATGATGAGGAAAAACTTTCCAGCCCATTATGGAAGCAAGATCTGCAGACCATCTTCCTCCTCCGCACTTGAACATTTATTCACTGGTGATAAACAGTGCCGCTTCGTCGTAAACCGTCTAATTTTAGAGCGCTCTACCAACTCTCCCACAAATCCTCAGACCTTGGCCCACTTCCCACAGCTGACAGCCGGCCAGCTCCTTACTGTAGCTCCGCTGGATGATGAGAGTAGAAAGCAAGAGGGAAGGGTGTGGGGGGTAGAGAGAACATGACTTTGGGGCAAAGTTCTGGAGCACAGAGGTGAAGGAGATTTAGGCTTTGTCAACATTACTACAGGAATTACAATAGATGAAAAACTGAGTTGGAAGCCTCATATAGATATAAAGTTAAAAATATCAAAAAATATAGGACTTATGAGTAGAATGAGATTTGTTTTAAATATTAAATCCCTTCAGATACTCTAACTCATTTATTTTACCATATCTGAGCTATGGTGTTGAAATATGGGGAAATAATTACAGAGCAAATATTTATCCTATATATTTACTTCAAAAAAAGGTAGTTCGAATAATTTCCCATGCTAACTATTTTGCTCCAACAAATCCTATCTTTATCCATTTAAAAATTCTAAAATTTTACGATATTATTGACCTGCATACACTGGTTGTAGTATATCAGGCATATCAGGCTCATCTTCCACCTTATTTCCAAAGGATGTTTGAACTAAGGGAAGGAGGATATAGTCTAAGAGGAACTGGGATAAAAAAAAAAAAAGAATATTAGAACCAGTAAAAAACAAAGATGTATCTCAGTAAGAGGAGTGAGTTTATGGAACAGCCTCGAGGATAGATTAAAAAATGCATGCTCGTTGAAAATATTCAAAAAGAGTTTTAAAAATAATGCCTTACGTAATTACCAAGTGCACCAAAATTAGTTTTGTCACACGTTTTATACCTCTTGATTGATTTCAATTGTTTTTGTTTTATTCATGTTTATATCTCTTGATTGATTTTGTTGAAATTAGGATGATGCATGTAATAACTGTATTGTTTATATGTTTATTTACTTTTGATATTTATGACAATGTTGATTTTTTTTGTAATGAATTAATGGGTAGGCTTAAATAAGTTTAACTTCAGCCTATACCTTTTCACTCATAAATTATATAATAATAATAATAATAATAATGCATTGAACTTATATAGCGCTTTTCTAGACACCCAAAGACGCTTTCACACACTCTCACATTCACACACTGCTAGTGATGGTAAGCTACTTGTAGCCACAGCCGCCCTGGGGAGGTCTGAAGAAACTGTTTAATTTACAAGAGGAATTTGTACCTGTGATAATTATTATTATGTTCTTTATTAGATAATTATTTTCCTTTTCATGTGTTTTATATGTATTTGTTATGACGGAAATAGATAAATACTAAGAAAAACAAAACATTGATGAGTCAGGGTGGAAATTGTGCGAGAGGGACTGACGCTCTGCTGTTTATCCTCTGAGAACCAGGAGTTAGGAGGAATTGGGGGGGGATGAGGAATGATGTGAAGAATAGGAAGAGAAAGGACAGATAAAAATGCAAGGTTCAAGAGATTAAATAGGTGCAGAAGAAGTAGAGATCGTGCGCTTGAATCGGGGGCAAGTGAGCTTAATGGAGGTCCAAAGTGAAGTGAAGGCAAGAGAAAATATTAGAGAAAATCGGACGAGAAAATCTGAGAGTATAAAGACGTGCTTCTTAGAGACAAATCAGTCAACAGCCAAATGAACCGATCATTTCAAATCCAAAACAATAAGAAAACAGCCGTAGGCATTAGCGAAGGCAAAACCTAAGAGGGGAAAAATGAAGGGTGTTTAATATTAAGGCTTTATGCCATCTGCTGGTGTCTGCAGGACCGAGGAGCACACAGAGAACGCCATCGACCACACATGGCCTTTGATTATTCATGTGTGTGTGCTGCAGCGCCACCTCAGCCTTCTGCAGCTTCTGACGTAACCATGCCTCATTAGACCGGCCGGCTGGAGATCCCCGCAATAATAACAACAAGCATACCTAGATGCTGACAGACGCTCACAAACGCACAAACATAAACATCGCCCAGCAGGTGGTGGGAACGATGAGAGGAGCTGGAAGCAGGGAGCAAACCAGGGCAGGGAACATTTTGTAAGCAGACAGCTCACCTACTGAAGATTATGATTAACTTGTAGCTGTGCTGGAAACTCAAATAAGACGCAAGATTGAGGTCACACCGTTCAGCTGCGTCTTTCCTTTCTTGTTCCTCAACTAAAGACCACAGGTCCATGAAATACACGAGTCAACAAAAGCTTCCGGAGTTTTCTCCCCAGCCTGCAGGGCGAACAGCGCTGGATTCCTGTATCGATAAATAAGCGGCCTGCATGACTAATTACTAACCAGAGAGGATTTAGACTTCCCCTGCTGCACCTGGGTAAAGAATGCTCCCATGTGTTTATGCTGATGAGAGGTTTGCAGTCAAACCTGGAGGAAAGCAGGAGGGATGTGCTTCTAATTAATAAACACCCCCCGGAGGGCTAAATGTGCTGAAAGAGCTGCACGTGTTATGTGAGAGTAAGCAAAAAGGCAGCATGGTTGTAGGTTGTTTCATTAACTAATGGGCACGATTTGCATGGGGGGGGCATTGACACAAGCTTTACATCCAGAGCGCGTACGCCGACGTCGCAAGTTTGAGTTGGTGTGTTTTAGTATTTTGGAGTAACAACCTTGTTTCTCGTTATGCCTCCATTTTTCTGTCCAGATTCATTCTGTTTATTTAAAGGGACTTTACGGACTTTTGAATTTTTATGCTCGTGATTGCCCCTCAGGCCAAAAGCGTAACGGCAGCTTCAATAGTAGGCTTGTGCACGAGGCGCGCATGCTGTACGTGCACACTCCTTAACGAAAATAACAGCTGAGACAGTCCTGTGTGTGTGTGTGTGGCCCGGAGGACAGAGGACAGGAGAACGCGCAGCTAATTAATAAAATAATTTAGTTCAGTACCTTTCTCTTCAGCACAGCCGACAAAGGTTTAAGATGGGTCAGTCCTCCTGCATGCTCAGATCATTCCCTTCCCTTGCTTGAAAAATTGTTCCAAAATGAAAGTTGAACCCACATCTTTTTTATATGTGAATTCAATGCCGTTCGGCGAGTCTCAAATAAAAATTTGGGCATCTTACTGTAAAAAAATATACCATTAATGTAAAAAAGAAACTAAACTATATTCACATCCAGAATCAAACCCACGACTTCTGCATGAAAGTCCGACGTCTTACTAGATGAGCTAAAGCACCAGTGACGTCCTTTGTATCTGTAACTTTTATATCCTTGATAACACCTGAAACAACGTTCAAAGAACGGTTCTTAGCGAAAATGGCTAATTTGCAGGAAATATCTAGAAGAAAGTAGCTAAGGGTCCTCAGAAATGTAGCTAGCTTTGTCACTAGGCGTTAGGAACAGCGACAAAGTGGAACTGCCTCTCTCTCTGCTGCTAAAGCTACGGATAGCAAATGCTACGGGCTATGCCTGAGCGTGAACGCGCATGAAGCAGCCTGCTCGACCCGAGCTTCTCTCTTTTTCTGTGATTTTACAGAAAAACAGGCAATCACAGTAAAAATGCCAGGGCTCATTCTACAGGACCAGGGCATTGCAGGAGAATGTATGAAGAAGAAATTTATTATTTCTATACATGTTTTGGCTGTCAAACTTCCATACTGCCCCTTTAAGATTATCCACTGTTTGGATGTGAATTTTACCCGGAGTTGCAGCTTGGCCTAACTTGGAAGTTATTAGTTTCCTATGTCAATCCAGATCCGGATTAGCCTTGTTGCCTTTCCCAGAACTCCCATTAATCTTGTTGATTTGCATGCTTGCTGAAACGTCCCTTATTAAAGACTTTTTCCCTTTAATTAGAATTTTTATCAGAGATGTGCCAAAAATAAGCAATCGGTATTGGTTCTCAAAACCAGAATCGGTGCTTTTCTAAATATAGAGGCTTGTTATTGTGAGCATTTTTCTTTTTGCACAGATGTTTTGATGTTTGTTGACATGAGAAAATGGTTCATGTTGTTTGTTTGTTGCGTAAGAAGAAACTGGGACTTGCGTTTCCTGATACCTGCGATGCAGAGGGTCTCTTGTCCTGGCCCCTCTTCATAAGGTTGTCGAGGGCTTTCAGAGAGGAGAACAGGCTTCTCTTGCGCTGTCTGCAGGTCAGGGAGAGCGAGCGCCTCCTTGCTGTGGTCTCGTCTCTGGAGCAGATCTGAGCACAGCATCAAGACCACGATGAGAAAACAATTGAAGTATCTGATGTTTCCCAATTCTTTGGTTTGCCTCAGTTCTTTTTCTTTCACATCTGTCTTAAACGTCCTTACCAGTGCATGGAAGGAGGACACAGAGAAAATCCCAAGGCGGCCCAGGGTGCTTTTAGTGGGGCGGCTTGCGATGGCCAGCAGGCTCTTTGGGTTTGGCAGCTCTCCTCCCTGAAGACTGGCGAGGTAGCAACGCATCCTGAACAGGTCCATGTTGAACTTCTCCAGGTTCTGCTCCCACTGTTGGATCTAGAGGAGATTATTTACGTGACTGAATTGAACTCCTACATATGGATTTCTGTTTGGGGGTGACGTCTGAGGTAGGAATGTCTCACGAGAGGGGGAGCCTGGGAGTCAACGAAGGAGTTAGGTTCGTACAAGTGCTTTCATTTAAAGTGTAACCACTTGCAGATGTTGTGGAGGGTAAAGCCATGACTTGATGCAGGAAATCGAGCATGTCAGCATAGTGGCGTGCTTTTTGGTGTGCAGTAAATCTAAATGTTCATTTTCTGCCTTGAGAGGTTCGAGACGTTGAACAGACCACCCGTCAAACTTCCACACACCCCAACTTTTACAGTTAGCCCCCTCCCTCTGTTAGCACTGAGTAAGCTATAGGAAAGTGCTTATTTTGTTGGCGGGAGACCGCTTTTAACGAGAACACTCACGTTAAACAGCCCTCCATAACAACTGATTTAATGGGTCTTGTCTGCACTGTGACTTCATTTAGTGTAACGGAGCCTACGGCAGCATCCCACTAGGGTCGCTCACATTGACTGCATTCTTCTGGGTTTGGGGGCAAACTGTGATCGGGGCCAAAGGGTGGCATTTTATGAACATCCTAAACAAACATCTTAAACAAAGAGCTCACAGAGAAATCACTGTGGGACTAATTCACTCTGAATATTTGTAACCGAGCAGGTGAGTAAAGTTAACAAGCCTCCACTGTAGACTCAAACTCGGGAAGCCCAGCTGGAACGTGCATTTAATAAAAATACTTTGCATCTGGCAAGTGGAGGCACCCGAAGTGTGCAGCTCTCTGCAAACTCCCGATTTTATTTTTATCCAAGTCTGCAGAAATCATTAGCTGTTCGTGCTCCGCTTCTCCACCAAGATGCATAACACTCAAAGTAGTTGTTGCATGAATCTGCAGACAAATGATTCAAATGCAAAAAAAGATCATCTCTGCTCAAGCAGCAGGCAAAAACTTTAAAGGGTTTAAAAATTGCTTTTTAATGCATACATTCATAGATTCATTCATGGTTCTCGGCCGGAAAAGGGTGGCTTCGGGGTCTTGTTCACGAGTGAGGGTAGGAGGGATCGGGAGATCGACAGGCGGATTGGTTCGGCGTCTGCAGTGATGCGGACGCTGAGCCGATCTGTCGTGGTGAAGAGGGAGCTGAGCCAGAAAGCCAGACTCTCGATTTACCGGTCGATCTACGTCCAATCCTCACCTATGGTCATGAGCTTTGGGTAATGACCGAAAGAACGAGATCGCGGATACAAGCGGCCGAAATGAGTTTCCTCCGTAGGGTGGCCGGGCTCAGCCTTAGAGATAGGGTGAGGAGCTCGGACATTCGGGAGGGACTCGGAGTAGAATCGCTGCTCCTCCGGATCGAAAGGAGTCAGTTGAGGTGGTTTGGGCATCTGGTCAGGAAGCCTCCTGGACGCCTCCCTGGGGAGGTGTTTCGGGCATGTCCTGCCGGCAGGAGGCCCCCGGGTCGACCCAGGACACGTTGGAGAGGTTACATCTCCAATCTGGTCCGGGAACGCCTTGGGGTCCTGCCGGAGGAGCTGGTGGAGGTGGCCGGGGAGAGGACGGTCTGGAGCTCCCTAGTTGGGATGCTGCCCCCGCGACCCGGACCCGGATAAGCGGAGGAAGACGACGACGACATTCATAGAGCGATTGGTTTATTTGACAGCTGGTTAAGACTCTGATAAAAGATTTATTACAATGTCCCGTAATTGTGTCACAAATACAACGACACCAATCAGTAACGATGAGTAAGTACTACAGAGTATACGTGTGACTAAACTCATTAAAATATAATATTCAGTTTGGACAAAATGTAAGCATTTATTTAAGTTAAATGCTATAAAAAATATGTTTTTCTCCTTTTTTAAACCTATTTTTGGGTTAGGTCATTAAAAAATGAGGAAATGTGTGTTGGAACAACTGAGTGACACGGGGGGATGACTAATCAGTTGTGATTATGATTTCTCCGTAGGCTTTAAACAAGCCTAAAGGTCTCATTCACTCATTTGAATAAATCTGCTGTGGTGTCTAGAATGAATGAATGAATGAATGCCTTGTGAGTTGTTTTCTGTGGAAAAAGGCTCTGGTGCTCCTGTTTCAGGGGGTAGAAGTCAGTCCAAGAGTTTTACTCATTAATATTCATTCGTGCAAATATCTCCCCTCTGATTGGCTAACAGCACCACAACTCTTCCGCTGCATTTGTTTGCTCTTCTTTCTTGGGTAAAAAAACGCAACATTGAACTTCACAAATAACACAAGCTGAACGTGTTCCGCCATGTTGTGGAGTTGCTAATGGTTAGCTAGCCTGGACATGCTCTGCTACAGACTTCCCATGGTCACAAACCAAGGTGGGCGGGGCCATGAATGCAAAAAGGGACTGGCTTTTTTTGACGCCACTGTTTTCCAATCTATTGTAAGATTCAAACGGACCCATTTGGTTATTGTTCACAGTTTTTGACATGAAACTAAACAGAAATATTCTCTAAACACATTTTTGCAGTTTGCTTTCTGCAAAATGCATGGTAAGCCTTCTACTGCAACTCGATCGTGTGCATGTGTGTGCGTGTGTGCTTGATTTGAGGGCAAAGTCAGACTTCAAACGAGATCTACTGGCACAGATTTCAGCAGACATGGGTGGGGGTAAACAGGGACATCAAAGTAAGTGCCCTGTTGGTGCTAGACAACCCCACAGAAACCTTAAATCTCTCATCAGCCTCGAGGCGCCTTTATCAGAGTTCTGTCCCGTTCCACTTCTGACCCTATCATTCACTCCAGCTCTGCCGTGTCTCTCTGAGGGGGCACGTCGGCTAATTGGAAACAGACGTGCCATCTCCGTCGCTGCATTTATCTCACCGGTTTCCACTCAGAGCTTTGAGATTAAAGTTAATATTACAGTTCACAACATGCAAAAGGAAAAACTGCACACAGGTATTTCATGGGACCGATAGCAGGTATTAAAAAAAAACATCTGGATTTCCTCACATTCCACATCTAACACTAATTTCTTGTAAATGCATTAGTGTCCTTGTTAAAACTCTTGTCTGCCTGTCTGTAATCTGCTGCTTGCAGAGTCCAGCACAGTGTTGATAGCTTTGGATTGTCCCCCCCAGGCTTGTGTGGAGGAGAAGGAATGGGATAATGCATGTTGTGAGCCCATTACCAGAAAACATCTGGAATCCCAATTTGATGCTCTGGGAACGCGCTGCTCCCCCAGGCCCCCTCGCTATGAGCTCAGGGACTGATGCATTTAGGCCACTTCAGCTGCCCGCAGACGCAAATAAAGCACCAAACTGTCGCCGCGGTCGCCAAATCAGGAGAATTAAGCGGAGTGAGTGGCGTGGTAATTACATACATGATGTGGAACAATAGAGTTTAAGGAATGAGTAAAAAAATCACACCACAGGGTAAATTAAATCAACAGATCATCTCAAAGGTTTTCAAGGGACGTTGATAATAATTTTATCCTCACCTGGTTCTCAATGGCTCTGCGGTTTTTAGGGTCGCTGACAACAGTCAGCTGTAGCTCGGCCATCTTCTTCATCTTCCCATCCATGTCGATTTTCTGCAGCAGCACTCGGACCTGGCTCCGCAGCAGGCGCACCGTGTCCTCCTTCCCCTGGCGCTTGGCGAGCAGCGAGGCGCTGGCGGAGTGGATGGCCGTCACCCAGTTCTCCAGATCCGTCTGGTTGCTGGCCTTAAAGAGGCGGGAAAAGTGAGGACTTGATGAAGAATGAGGCGCTTTATAAACACGCCAGACTTGCGGGTTAGGTAAAGTCGTGGTATTATCTAAAAAGATCACTTCCTCTGCATTTTATTGCTATTACTCATCCCCATAGCAACATACTGGTTAAGCAATGAATGTAACTTCTTTATAAAGAGGTCCTTCACTGGGAAAGTTACTTTTGAAAATAATCGGTCATGTTGCTGGTATCCAGTCAGAGGCGAGATGTCCGCCAGATCAGAGGCGCACCAGAGCTTTTTTTTCCCTGAAGTGTGACTTACAAGGCATTCATTCCTATTATAGACCGCTGAAAATTCATTAAAATGAGTGAAGGACCTCTTTAAATGATAAAACCTGAAAAATGCAACAGTCAATGAAAACAATTCTCAAGGGACGCTTCAGCTCCAAACAGATGCAGAGTTGAGCTTCGCAGCCGTTTAGTTAGGTGACGAGGATACGTAGGTCGGTTTGATGAAACACGAGCATTACCTGGAACAGGTAGACATCTCCGTACGAGTTGCTCAGACAGAAGACGTTCTCCCTTTTGGGGTGTTCGGGGACAGCCTGAACGATGCCATCTTCGGCCAAAAGGGCGTATCGGGGCGACAGCTCCTGCTCTGCAGAGCCTTTCCCATAAGTTTCATAAAACAACAACGTACAGCCTGAAAAAGAAGACACCAATGGAAACGTATTGTAAAAACATAAATAAATCTCGTAAAACATCTGGTTCAGGGTTACCTTTCAGGGTCACCCAGTAGTGCTTCCACTTGCGTCGGGTGACCAGTTCCAGTTTCCTGTCTTTGTGCAGGGTGACCAGAGGTTTGAAGGAGAGCCAGCCAGCCCGCCTGACCACTCCCTGCTCCTTCTCAAACAGAATCTCCATCTGCTCCAGGGAGCCGTCGGCCGACTCACTGCTGCTCCCATCCTCTTCCGTCCCCGTGGACGGATCTCTTCTGTCTCCACCTTGCCCAGTTCCTATCTCCAGTTCCCTCATGAAGTTCTCGTAGATATTCTGGCGAAGGGCGTCGCTGGTGTTTTGGTGAATGGCTCCTGAAGACTGAGCCCTAGAGGCTCGAGGGAACCAAACGAGGCTGGAGACCTGTGAGGGGGAGCTGGTGTCTGCGGTCAGACCATCTACTCCACTGTCGAAGGCATCGTTCTGGTCCTTGTACCTCATCTCCTAAAGATGAGATCACACATTGGTGTGTATTGGCAAGAATCTTGCAATATGATATATATCACATATCTGGGGAGATGATACGATATATTCATTGCAATACTAAAAGCCAGTGTCGCTGTTCCATCAGAATGAAGCCAGTAATGCTGCCACCTAGCAATCAGAGTTGGAATTGCACCACACAGAAATACAGTTAAGATATGCCTGTAAATTCTCAATAAAAATGTCTGCTTTTAAATATCGGTTAAGTATCATTTTTATTATTTGTGTATAGATATTTTCTTGCATCTATATCATCATGTCTAAAACAGTTTATAGTAAATTATCTGTCAGTATTTAAATAAAAACTGGGGCAGTGACTCGATTAAAAATTTTAATCTAATTAATTAGAGGCTTTGTAATTAATTAATCTAAATTAATCACATTTTTAGAGTGTTTCTGTTTTAACTTAAACTTCTGTTTTCAACTTTAAGACACATAGCTTGTGATTGTTTACAGAGTAGTGAGAACACGGAGCGCTGTCACAGCGGCAGCCGGGTGCCTCTCGTTTGTCTGACTACTTTCATAAACTACTGTTAGGGGAAAGAATTATTCTGTCTGGAGCTTTCAGCGCTGCACAGATGTTACGTAAATGTTAAAAATATAGCTTACAGCAACTTTTGTAAAGTTTCTGGTGCCATCGGGCAGCCGCAGCAGAGACGATCTCTGAAAAATGTCTGCGACACGGACTTCGTTGTTGTCTGGAAGTTTTTTTTCCCCCAAGTTAAGAAAAGAGGCGGACAGGTTTCCTAAATCCTGCATCAGTCCAAGCAAGGCAACTTCATTCTGTTTTTATCCCGTTTTAGTAGCCATTAGCACTGTGCATTGTTGTGTGCGTCAGTGATATTCGGTCTAGAGGAAATCGTGCAATAACAAAGGTTCCGCCTTGCTCGAAATGCAAACTGTGATTAAATGCGTTAATTTCTTTAACGCCTCATTTTTTTCTAATTAATAATAATAATTAACGCGTTAAAGTTCCGGCCCTAATAAAAACGCATCCTAATTTTCTCCACATTGGGACACAAATCTGTACCAACATTCTGTCAATTATCCCAAAAGCACGTAATCAGCTCCTCTTGAACCTTTTTGAAACTTGAGCCTCTAAATGTTCAGGAAGCTGGGAAAGTGGGACACCTCCTCCAACAGACTGAAACCCTCCAAGCTCAGACAAGTTCACAACATTTGACATCTTGGTGTGGCTTCCTAATTCTCTGAATGAACACTTGATGGAATTGCATCCTTTTATCCCTAATGACAGCCTAACTACACTTGACTAGGCTGCAGCGTCGACTCACCCTCCAGCAGCAGAGCAGAGAACTCTCAACGAGCAGATGCACAAGTTTGAACTAGAAGACTGACTTCTAAATCATTTTTCTTACAACACCGAGCTTATGCGTACTTTTCAGGGCGGCAGCAGGCTCCAAGAGCTCAGTATTTGAGTTTATTAACCACCTGCCACCATGACATATACAGTATTTATAGGAACATCTATGGGAAAATATACTGTTACTCTTTTCTAAGATCTCCCCAGTTGAAGCAGCCCAGATTAACTGCTGCTCCTCCCACCCCCACCCCAGCTGTTTTTTATTAGACAGGTTCTTGGTCTTTGGCATCTGGGTCACAAAGTGACCTTTTAAATCCACAGGCTCAGGTGGAGGGAAACCAGGGCAGGAAGGGCTCCTGATTTCAGCAGGACTGCTGAAAGGAGGCTGTGTGGGTGGATATATGGCAAGAAATAAAACATACAAAAAGTGTTTTCTCAAAATGTGGTCACCATTTAACCCAACCTGTAATAAAACTGATCGAACATGAAGTTATTCCGATTTTCCTGAAATTTCTCCAGTTAACGATGCAATCAAAGATGTTTTTCTGGGGCATTTTTGCCATTTTGGTTGAAATGCTTTTCACATACTGACGGCAACCAATTAACTCAGCCTTTAGCTGCCATAATAAACTGTTATACGGTGATGTGGGTGCATTATGTTGGGAAAAGTTGCCAAAGGAAGACATATCAAAAACGTAACTGAAACCTCTGGGACAAGAATTGCAGATTCTTGTATTCTGAAGATGCGGCTTGGTGCCTGTAGAAAGGAGGTTGTGTATTTTCTAAAAGCTTGCCTAAACGGCAAGAAAAATGTCTCTTATCCACCTTTAAGAACCAGCACATGATCGTACTTTAGCACAGAGAATTAGGGTAATGATGGAGGCTGCCAGTCTGGTCCTAGAGGGTTAGGAATCAGTGCCTTAAGCATTTTCTTTAGGATAATCTGATGTTTTGAGCATAAAGAGAAGCTCGGATTTTCCTAAATCTACCCAGAAGAAAAAGCCTTCTGAATACTGTAACTGTTGCATTTTTTTCTGTTGTTTTGCTGCAACACCCTGCTGACTGAGCATAAATCCCTATTAGAAGATTTACTCCCTACAGAGGGTGAGGGGAGCCCAGAAAAGCTGCACCAGAACAACCAAAGTTCCTTCATTAACATTAGCGGAGGGGTGAGGTTAAACCTTGAGCTTGGATTTCGTTTCACTCTGCAGAGCCTCTCAAAGGCTTACAGCTATCCTCTTGGCAGAACGCAAATGCCATTTTTTAAAGTTTTACATGGTAGAGCTAAAAGAATTAATGCAGAAACAACTGCTTTCAACCCTCAGAGACGAGAGTGGGACACGGGTTCAGGCTCAGTTTAAACAAATGTTTTCTGTCAATAAACAAAAGTAGGACTGTAGAGCGGCCAAGAAAACTCACGAGCACCAAAAACAAACGTGAGCAACATTAAATCAGGCCATACTTTTGTCTAAGCTCTCCTCCGACCTGTGCCGACACAATGCAAGGATTATTTTACTCCTGGGAAATCACGTTACTACTCATTTCTCTAATAGTGGCTAGCTTAAATGTTCCAGAGCTTTGGTAAACAACGTAATAATCACAAACCTTTCAAACCTGCAAAAGTGAGTAAACGATTCCTTAATTAAAATACGTTCATGTTTTAAAATTGTCCACCCAGAAAGTGTAACCATGGCACCTGCGTATCAGCCCCTCGCTCCTCTTCCCTGCAGGATCAGCCATGTCTTGCATTGGCTGCCTTACAAATTTGATTTCTCATCTCCCCACTGTGTCCTGATCTCAGACAGCTGGTGTTGTGATGCTAAAGAACCAGAGGACGGTGGTTGGTTCCCAGCCATGCCAGGACTACCACTGTGATCCAAACACAGATGACCCTGAGCTCAAACTTCTAAACAAGAAGCATTTTTCCATCTAAATTTAACACAAAAGCCACCAAACTAAACTCATCCTGTCAAAACTCACCTGAGACTTTTTCTTCTTGCGGCTGAGGCTGCCTGTCCAATCACTGAAGCGTCTGATGCGACTTTTAATGGAGTCCTTCTTATGGAAGGCAAATTCGTGCCCACTCGTCTCCTGGTGAGACGTCTGGTCGCTAATGGTGTGTGCTTTGGGCCTGCGACAAGGCAGGGTGTATGACAAGTAATGGTGAGATTCTGGGCATTCCTCCTCCAAAGGAACGTCCATTATGGAAGCAAAGGAGGCCCGGTGTGCTTTCTGCCCCATCATAGGCTGTTGTAACTGCAACAAGTCACTGGTTGTGGGGAACGTTGCAGCCATTGCAGAGTCCCTATAAAGGTTTGTAATGGATTCAGAGGTGGACTGCTCTGTAAACGTGTCAAGCTGGTGAATGGGGGAGTTTGCTAATGTCCTACTAGCAGAGCAAGGTTGGTCCTGCTCAACAAGCTCTGTACTGGGTCCCCACGGGGAGTCATACCAGGAGCCTTCGGAGCTCAGCGAGCTTCCTTTGCTGGTTCTGGCTGTAGAGGAGGTAGAGGCTGGTGGTGGACCACTGCGGTGGACTTCCTGCCTACTTCCACTGGAACCAGGCAGGCTGGGATTGGAGGCAGATTCTAATTTGGGGGAAAACTTGAGCAGTTGAACGGGACCAGAGGCCTCATCCAGGAGAAGCGTGTTGCCTGAGGTGTTGGTGAACTCCACCCTGAGAGTACCATCCTTCTTGATGACCACCCTTGGACTGCTCTGCTCTTCTAAAACCTCGTGGTCGTCACTGTGTCCTTTAAGAGCGAGCCCATTGAGCGCAGCTCCGTATGGATTCTCCTCATAGTCATCCGACTCGTGCCGTCTTCGTAGACCACATCCAGGGGATCGATACCAGCGATGTTCACTTGCGGCGCCTGTTGCTCTCTTGGAGACAAAGTCACAGTGTTGGGCAGAGAAAGACAGCCTGCTCTTAGGAGGTGACAGGCATCTAGGGCCAACACACCTAGCCTTATACCCTGAGCCCAGTGAGGCGTTTTTCCACCACATGTGTGGAGACAAAACGTCATCTTTGGTTGAGTTGAGCTTCTGTGAATATGGCTTCTGTTTCTTAGGGAAAATGAAGCTAGTGCCTTTTGGACCATCGATGCTGTATTGGCTCTCTGAATTCCCCATCCTGGACTGGAAAAACACAGGAAAACATAAAGCACAAACTGGCTGGAAAACATGCGGGAATCAACAGAAGCTTTGTAAAATTCAGAACTGTGCAAAAGATTAAAACACCCCCAAATTCTGTACAATGTCCTTATAAGGAACCAAAGCTTATAGCCTCAGGCTTTCTGAAGGCATTTTAGACTCAACTTTGGCAGCTTTTTGAATCACAATGTTGACTAAATTTTTGAATTTGGGAGCTTTGAACTTTGATTGAGAGACAGGTCAGAGTTTTAAACTAAGAATTTTCACTTTCAAAGGCAAAAATCTGTTCAAAACTCACGAGAGTCGTTTGAAAATCTTCAGAAACACAAAGAACTAAAGCTTCACTTCACTAGAGGCAAATTATCAAGTGATTATCAATTAAATAAACAAAAGTTTAAACTTAAAGAAATTACTCAAATTGAGGCTATTAAATGATTTGTAAGCTGGAAACCTCACCTGTCCAACGGTCTTGTTTCACTCTGGACCCGTTATTGGAAACCTCATTTCTCAAGACCACCTCATTCCTCTGTCGTCCTGCTCACCTGAAACACAAACAAAGGAGACTTGGTCTCTTTCCACTGCACCGTAATTTCATTTAAGTGATGAGTCCATGCTTGATGAAAGGTGTGCAACCTAAAGAGCAGACTTAATCCCCAGCTCTTTGCTGAGGATAGTGATTGGCACCAAGTGTTTGTGTCAGAGATTAACAAATCAGAACAACAGAACACGAGGCTTTCTTGGAAAATTATCTTGAGATTTGCACATGAAAATTTAACCAATTTACAAATATTCTAAATATTTGACTATGGAGGGACGCGTTTCGTTTGTCACCTTGGATGAACTCTAAACTCAGGCCTTCCAGTAAAGCTGCAAAACTCTGTACACCTCTCAGCCGTTCCAAACCAAACATGTTGCATTTTTCCACCTCAAAAATAAACGACACTGTGTTTCATCAGGTTTGGGAAAGTTCTTCAAAGCCAACTACACTTTAACCGCCGGTTTATTTTTAAACCTTGGAATCCTCGCTCCCCCCCCACTCATCACTGCCAAATCCATCCGAGAGCACGATCCAGGAGTGATATTTGCAGACAAACCGAGGGTCTTGTGGCATCTTGACGTGTGTGTAACGCAATCTACCTGCACACATGTTGCTCAGACTCAGAGACGGCTTTCAACTGGAGCTAACGCCGCTAAGCCGAGCAGCACACGTACAGCATGTGTACGGCTACAGTGTAAATATCCAACCGTCAAAAGCCCTGACCTTCTGGATTAGCTGCAGCATTACGACAAGATTTTAATTGCTTCTGTTTGACTGTGAGGTGACAATTAAACATCGTTAAGAAGTTTTGTGAACACCTTACATGTTTAAGGGGTTGCAAAGGTCAAGGACGTGGTAAAGATCCAGTTACGAAACAAACAAACAAACCACCAGCTGATGATTCTCTCCTCCTGCAGTTGCTTTAGACGATAGGAAGTCCAGTTGTAACCATAGAACGACCTACCTAACCATCACTCTGCACAGATCAGAGGATTACCTTCATGAGCTGTAATAAGTCACCGAATGTGAGCAGAACCGACACAGGGAGACAACCTATAATTCTGAAACCGCCTATTAGGACAGCTCTCTTGCTGTTACACCAATAATTTTCATCTTTGCCACAAAGATTGTGCCGGAGCCATGGTGCCAATAAACCCTAGACAAGGGACTGAGGTGGAAGCGTTATGGTTACATAGTGATCGAGTGGGTTTAACATTTCTGTTCCCTTTTCTAGCAAAAAAAGAAATGGTGTTACCATCACTATGTATGTAAACTGATGAGGAAGCTAAAGCATGGTTCTGAATGCCTCTGCATGAATGAAAAGTGCTTTTCGATTCCATTTCTTGAATGAAGACTGAGAAAGCAGCTGCCGGCTGCACCAAGAGTCAACATAAAGCCGGTTGTCGAACGTGTCACAGTGTCTGCTTTCTCTTAACATCACTACTGATGCTTTTGTTGTAGTTTAATCAGACTAAGCATGAGTTTGAAAGGCTCAAAGGCGTGCCAACAACACAAACCCTAAGACGTGCACATTTGCCTTCTGCTGCAAGTAGAACTGGCGTATTGTTGGCTTTTTTTTTAGAGAACAACAAGACAAGTCTTCCTTTTTTGCAGCAAACCGCTGTGCCCAGTCTTGAACTCTCCCTCCCTCTTTCCCTTCAGGCCTCTGTTCTCATCAAAAAGACTTCCTACAGGCCATCTGCTCCAAGGCCAAGGGACCACTGCCACCCCGGCGTGCCTCGGCACACCCCATGACCTGGCATTCTTCTCACTCTGCCCCTACGTGACTCCTACGAAAGCCCCATGTTTAGTCTCTGTCTCAAAGCTGGAATACCAACAAAAAAATGGACCACACCTTGGTATTGTATAAACACAGAAGGTGCCTGAAAATTAAGGACGTAACTCTTTTTCCTTCATGTAGACCACCTTGTATTTGCTGAACTACTTCACAACTTCCCTTGAGCGGTAGGAATCTGACTCTCACGTCTTTGAATTTGAACTTGCAGCAGGAACAAACTACAAACACAGCAGTGTGAACGAAGACAATCCCCAGAGAAATGACCCTCAAGGCAACTTCTCGATGCTGTTGGTGCATTTTATTTTACTTACTCTGCTACAAAACCTTAAGACACACAGATATTTGACTTTTCAGAGGTAGTAGAGGAAGTTGAGCCACAACGTTTGAGAGATTTTTGAATAAAAACCCACAAATGAGACATGCAAAGCAAACAAAAACAAAGCACCGTGCTTTTTGAGATACATAGTAAGAGAGCTATGAGGTGATTTGTTGTTGGTAGGAACTGAACTGCCTCCCTTCTGTCAAATCAAATCCCAGTGGACTCTTATCACTTTCCTCTGCTACTGCTACGACAACAAACTCCTTAAAGCAACAGGGCTCTTCACGATTCCACAAAAACAACCAACAAGTTCCTTCAGCACCTCAAAAACAAAAGAACGTGGTAAAAAAACGATGTTCCTGGATCCAACAGCCAGCCCAACTGCTGCTGCGATTGTGTCATACCAATGAGATTTAAAGCATCCCACAGTAGTTTACTTGTGAGTAGAAACCCATGAATCACTCACTGAAAGCTCATATTACCGAGTGGTGGATCCAGCCAAAACCACCAA